CGTCTGTATTAGACTGCTATCTTCTCCCAAACATATCTTTACCCCTGTCATTAGATTCATCGCTGTCTCACACCGAACATATGGTAGTGTGGCAGGAACTGGCTGCTAGCGATCAACACTAAAAAAAATAGAGAAATAAACGAGTCTGATTAGAATACGGACTCCCTTGATCAACTCGTGTTCTTTGCCCCCCCCCTCCTCATCCTCCACGTCGCCCAATGCAGTCACTCAGCCCACAAGGAGAACATAGGGCTCCAACCACAATCTGCCAATCTCTGTCGCTAAGTCTATTACATACTATTGTGTGGCACAAACTTGAAACTTGGTCCATCTCATGACCAAGTTTGTGCCAGACTTCCGCCTCTCCTTGACAGGAGGTTGATTGCCAATTTGCCACCCTAAACCAAATAACTTGTTCCTAGAAATTTGTCAAGTGACTGAAGAGAATTGCGGACATGAGAACTAGAAATGAGAATTGCGGAAATGACAAATAGAAATGAGAGAGCTGACTGGCAGGACCTCGCTCCCTAATTGGAACGGGACGGTAAGCTGGTGTCCGACAGCTGCCCACCAACCAAAAGCCTTCTTTTCCATGTACGCCCTTTTTGTCGTTTTGGTTGATATTGGTCTTTGCCCGTTTTAAGTTTTTGACTGCTTCAGTCTGCTTGGGTATATGAGGGCCTTGGGTTTAAGAAGGGCTTTTGGGCGGTACATAGGGTAGGGTGTTCAGATGAGAGGACTGGCTATGACGTGAGGCGGAGGGTTCCGGGGTGACACCGAAGTACTTGAAGTGCAGCTATTATAACCCTATAGTCCTAGACAAACTTCATGTTTTAATTTGAGCAAGCTGTCCCTGTTCCCTATGAGAATATAAGGTCACTTAGTCTATAGCTATGTCAGGTGCAACTACATGATGTGTGTTTGGTTGGGGTCCATGAATTCTAAACCTACCTGAAGTGATGAAGATCATGAACGGTTTGAAAACACCCCCTCCCTCGATCACCTATGAAGATAATAATAAGGTGAAAATCCTGAACCGGCTTGATGTAAACCATAAATGGTACGACCCCGCCCCCCCCCGCCCCCCCCTGCCCCCCCCCTTCCCCCTTGGCAACCTGTTAAGATAAGGTGAAAGTCCTGAACCAACCTGAAGTGACGAAGGCTATGCATTGTTCGAAAGGAATCCTCCTCGCCCCCCCCGCCCCCCCCCGTTGGTTTATTGACCACTTTACCACTAATGCAGACCCCGAAAATCGTGAAAAGGCATGAAGTGGTGAGTGTCCTGAACAACATGAAAAGAAACTCGCCTCAAAGTTAGTGTCATGCTTCTTTTCACGTTGTTCATATTATTCACCACTTCAAACATTTTTATGGTTTTGGGGGTCTGCATTAGTGGCCAATCAAACGTGTGAAAACATGAAAAGGAGCTCGTCATCCAAGTTATCGAGTTCTGCTTCTTTTCACTTTGTTTAGGGTATTCATCACTTCAAACCTTTTCATGGTTTTCAGGGTTTGCATTAGCCATCCATCAAACATGTGGGAAGAGTTGCTTTCGGACCTTTCATGATTTTCATCACTTCACGTCGGTTCACAATTTTCACCTTACCAAATAGGTGGGTTTGCATTAACGGCCAATCAAACATGTGGGAAGAGTTGCTTTCATACCTTTCATGATTTTGATTACTTCAGGTCGTTCAAAATTTTCACCTCACCTTAATAGATGGGGTTGATTTCAAATCATTCATGATCTTCACCACTTCAGGTTGGTTCAAGGTTTTCACATTGTCTTGTCAATGGACGGGGTATCAGTGGAGGGGGGGTTGTTTAAGACCTTTCACGGTTTTCATCATTTCAAGTCACTTCATGATTTTCACCTGGCCTAAAGAGATGACCCTTGAGTGGTTAGAATCACGACTTGCTTGAAGGTGCCTCCCCTTTCAACGCATGAGAATTTCAAACAAGTGAACATCATGAAAGATTCAAAGTCGTTAACAATTATGAAAGATTCAAAGCCATTAACAATTACGAAAAGTTTCATGGGTTCAAAAGTCGTGAAGGAGCATAAAACTTTTAGGTCGGGTGAAAATCATGAAAGTTTTAGTGGGGTGAAAAATCATGAAGTTTCAAGACGTTATCGATACGAATAACATATTCCACTACATCTTGTCACTATAAACCAGGGTTGGTCCCCAGTTGGACCGAGGGCCCCTCGCCCGACTGGAAGCCCGGTTCGATCGAGTGCTTAACGAGCCCGACACCCCCCCGATCAAACCCAGCGCATCAAGCTGGGGAGTGATACCGGGGAGCCACGAGAATCCCCGCAATTGCCCTAACCCCGAAGACCGCTGCCTTCCTAAAAAAAAAAAGTTGGGGGTTTTGGGCCCTGCTGCTTGAAAAGGATGGGCGGAGGATCTCCGCTGCTAATCTTCGCAGATCAGTGGCGGAGAACCACCTTTCGTTTTCTTTCAAGATACGGGGGGTCCAATCGACCCCGATTTTGCAGTAGCTTGCTGAGATTATATGCTTCTTCGATGTCCCTACGCTATGGTAAAATTAATATAGGTTTGGGTTTCGTAAAGTCAGAGTAGCAATGTTGTCCGAGGTGCAACCCCAGTAATGGACCTCGCTCCACTACACATATCTCGACAGACTGCCAGGCAAGATAATTTTGGACTGATGAACCACCGTACATCTAAAAAAACAAACAGAAAACGCTCTGCCTGGATGAGCTGAAGTTTTGGCAAGGACCTCATATCAGCATATCTCGTTCGACCTCTTGGGTGTCGTGTCAATATCTATTGGTGTAGTCCATGATACCCTATGGTGTTGAATTGAAATTTTTGTGCCACGTGGGGGTCAAATAAGTAAGCTTGTTTACTTGACCCCTCCACGTGTAAGCTATACCTCCCTGGACCCACCCCAATAATAACCATCCTCCCCCCCCCTCTTGGACCCCCCTGAAAAAAAATCGCGCCTTCAAGAGTTCGATTGCCGGATTTTCACAGATCTCAAAGAATGCAGTCGAAATCTGCAGAAAAAAGTTTTTAATTTTTTTTTTTTTTTTAAATCGGTTTTCCGGTTCGGTCCGGCCCCGGTTGCACTGGGCGAGCTGAACCGGCAGGTTTCCGGCCCAACCTTGCTATAAACAACACTATCCTCCTTCCGAATTAGCATTCCCTCTATGCTTTTCATTATGTGAACATTAGTTTTTTAGGGCAAATGAAACAACTAATTTTTCCCACTTCACAATTTTCATCTCCAGATTTTCAGGTACCCAATAACGGCTTGCGTCCCATATGATAGTTTGGTAGTGGCCCAGAGGAGGCCTGGGCCCCCAACCACCAAACAAAAAACATTGCATCTGCTTATCTGATCGAGCAAAATCTTGCTTACAATGAAAAAGTATATTGTGCTGAGGGCATACTCACACTAGCACTTTTAGGGCCCAGTTCTGAATGTCATTGTTGTCAAATACATTCAGTTTGGATTGTAACTTCAGTCCGACATTCAGGAAAGTGCTAGTGTGAGTATGCCAGGAGGTTCAACAACTTCAAGGTAGGCGAAAAGATGGGTGCAACAAAATAATTTCAGAGGTTAGTGGTCGTTTAAACCACAGAAGTTTGTCCTGATGGATGACGCGGAGGAAAGGTCGGAAGAGGTAGAGTATGCCTTGCTGCCTTGTTCCCTTGCTGCTCATCGTGCTGCGCTGCCCCTTGCCTCGCCTTGCTGCTTTGTTGCCCTCTTGCCTTAACGCTTTGCTGCACTGTGCTGCTCTGCTGTTACCGTTGCCGCCTTGCTTCTCTGCCTAGTTGCATCGCTGCCCTGCCGCCTGCCCTTCTGCCTTGCTGCCGTGTTACTCAGGGTGCTGCCGTGTTGCTCAGGGTGCTGCCCTATTGCTTGCCTTGCCTTGCTGTGTTGTTGCCTTGTTGTCTCACTGCCTTGTCTCCCTCTTGCCTTATTGCTTTGGTGCATTGTGCTGCCTTGCTGCGTAATTGCCTTGCTGCCCGATCGCCTTGCTGCCCGATTGCCTTGCTGCCCAACTTCCTTACTGTCTAATTGCCTTGCTGCGTTGTTGTCTTTCTGCGTTGTTGCCTTGCTGCTCTGCTGCTGCCTCGCTGCCTCCCTGCCCTGCCGCTTGCCATCCCACCCTGTTGCCTTGCTGCTCAGCGCGCTGGCCTATTCCTTGTCTTGCCTTGCTACCTTGCTGCCCAGCTCCTTGCCTTGCCTTGCTGCCTTGTCGTCTTCTTGTGTTGTTGTGTGTACCCGCCTTTCCCCCCACGCGCCTTGCTGCCCGCATGCTTACTGTGCTATACGTTGCCTTGTCCATGTTGTGATGCATGCTTTCCTGCAATTGCCCATCTGCAACAGGGTTTGAAGCTTGGTTACGAAAAGTATTGTGAGGGAATCCTGCAGACTGTGAAGGGTTCAGCCTCCTGACGAGTCGGTGCAATTCCGATGGAACAATCTATTGCCATTTTTTATTTTTTTTTCCCGTGCTTGTTGGTTTGGCAGTGGTAGTTTTTTCCTTCGTTCTTTTTGTTTCTTTTGGGGTCTGCATGTTTGTGTCTCTTCCTTGGGGGTTAACACATCTACTAGGGGTGTGGTGTGTTTTATGTCGACGGGCCATGCTCGTATTGCCTGTACTGCACAAGAAAGCCTTGTCTCTGTGAATGCTTCCGATACTCTGTCTGTTCTGTGCTGGGAGAAGAGTCTTTTCTGGTATCGTTTACGCATGCTTACTAATACAAAATGCCGCGATCCTATCACGGAGGACTTAGCGAGTCGGTGAAAGTCCAATGAAACAGTCTGGGACAGTCGTGCTAGTTTTGTGGATTTGTGTACAGCGAAGAGACAACACACACACAACCACAATCAACGTGGGCAGCCTTGTGCGTAAGAGGCACAGTAAAAGGGGAGCTGCAAGAACAATGAAAGGGGTACCCCAAGGACAACCAAAAAGCTGTCTAATTACATCTCAAATGCTCTCGTTGTCTGCAATAGGACAAAGACTGATTTGATTCTGAATGTATTCATCTGGGTGGAATTGGGGCTGTTGTGGGGAAAATCTAGAACACACACACACACACACACACACACACACACACACACACACACACTGGCCAGATGACGGGGCAAATTTGGAAATAATTTCAAATAAATGGGGGTCAAAATTGCCTAATTAATGACATAACAGGGACATACTCCTTTTGTAATACAAAGGAGTGTCCGCAGGAGGAGTGTTTTTTAACAGCGGAGAAAGTGAGAATCATTGCTAATTCCATATCACGAGCGTCGCAGACTTTGCCTCACACCTCTGTAAATTAGGCCCAGTGATCGCCCAATCAATGTGACAAGCAAATAGGAAATCACATTGCCAATCTTCAAGATGACAGCAGAGATAATCGGCACTGTCACGTCTGCAAACTCGAGGTAAATGCTGTACCCAAGACGCCTGCACAAATCCACACATTGGCCACATCGGGGATAAAAGTCAGCAAAGCAACAGGATGATGGTTGTGACAAACAAAGAGCCAATAATGCTGGTTGTGGCAAACCCCCTTTCCCTCTCTCCTCTCTCTTCTCTCTCCCCTCTCCCCCTCTCTCCTCTCCCTCTCTGCCCTCCCTCCTCTC